TGATGCTTTTACCTTTTGCATACAACAAACGTTGATACATTATAGTGCTGCTATTTTTGTCAGCACACAATATTTCCTACGCATACAGTGAGTAAAATTATGTCTTTTGAAATTGTATTCTCTTCAGAAGGCTGTTTTCATCAACCATATCCAGCGGATTTTTCTATCCTTAAGTAGTACCACTAAGCTTGAATAGTATTTCTTTATGAATTTGCAAAAATACTTCTGTTTTTCACCGTATTCTTACAGTTTTTGAAAAAATACAGACAACTTATCCTAGTATTTCTTCTTGGAACAAGGTTTTGGCTTGTGTAAATAACACTAAACGATACTACCCAAGTCTAGACGCTCTCTAAAACAGTGCTACTTCGACTAATTTACGTGGATAATAGTAAGATAAAGTTTGAAAGACAATGACTAATTCCTTGAAAAGTAAATGTTCTACGTAGAATCTTTGACATAGCGTTCAGTAACACCAAAAACGCGAACCAGTATCAATGAAAACCCTTTAAAGGTTATTATGGATAGATTCTCGTAGTGTTTTTCCTTGTATATCTGTGTTGATCTTTTCTGTAGGGCTTTGCAAAGAATTCAATGCTGAGTGTTTTAAAAAATCTGTTTCGATACAATAAAAACTAACAGAGATATGTGTAAGCGCTAAAAGTGAATCATAACAGGTTTCAGCGCAAGGAAATATATAAATGGACAGAATAAAGAAAAAGAGATCCTGCTTGAATTTTGAACCGCATATCTTCTGTTATCTGAGCAGATGTCCTAAGCTAATTAGACTAGAAGGGGCACTTTAGTCTGCGTTTAGCGTCGCAATGTATCCTCGTTGATGTTAACAGTATGGAGGAAATAACAGTGGCTGCTTTATCCTGACTCACCTGTTAATTTGAGAATATATGTGAAAAAAGAAACAGGATGAGGAATCTTCAGAGCGAGTATCATCCATAAACTGACTTAACTTTTAGGATTGCCCTAGGTATTATTCGGTCATAACGAGGAATTATAAGTACTTAGTAATTTTATTTGTGGTATCACTTTAAAGCAGTCTACTCAATTTAAGAAACAATATGAGAACGTGATGAAAAGGGTATGAGTCAGTAAGTCATCATACAGGACACTCATTTCAATACTTCTCAAGTTCTTATTGTTCGTAAAGATTATCTGTTATTCGCTACAATGTATATTAAAGCAGAATATCATGATCAATTTCAGAAACAAATAGCATATTACTAATTTTTCAATGGTGTTCTTATCAACTTCAGTAAAAGAATTGTTAAGCCCGAAGTGCTACTCTCGTCTGTTTCTATATCCTTTGAAGGGAGTAAAGTATTGGTGAATTTTCAATTTCTCACGTTCCATGTGATAGAAACCAAAGTGACGATTTGATGCAACTGCTATGGCTTCAAAATTGCTTTTGAAGTAAATAACAGCACCACTAGTTGAGAACTCCTTTTAGTGAGCATTTTATGATTTCATGATACGTTGTCTTAGACGCGAAAGCCTAACAGATGGGAACGCGTAGCATGTTCGAATATTGCTTCCGGAGTTACATACCATAATGTAGTTGTTTTGCAAGAGCCGTGCTTGAGATCAGAGACGGAACCGATATAGATACAGATTTAAGGTCGGTTGATCTATCGGTAGAATAATATTTACGAGTCCTAAAATCATATACCGATCAGGCTACACTTTAAAAAAATACAGTAGCAGCGTAAATCCTTTAAGGGTTTATGAAAATCAGATGTCTTTTCATAAATCCATTCAGAGGCGTTTCTGAAAATTCCACATACAGTAAAAAAAGAGTTTATTAAGCGTTGTAGTTCCATAAATACTTTACGAGTTTACAATTCTACGCTTCTTCTTCATAATAACCTACTGTTTTCTAAGTTAAAATGAAAAAAAAAATTATAAATATGTTCTTACTATTACATTTACTTTTCACATAAATCTAAAGAAAAAAAGAAGATTTGATTTGATGAATCAATACATACCATTGGATCTCGTATTGAGATTGAGGCTGCTAATCTATGTTATTGTTCATAATAAGAAAGAGTAGCTATAAATAACAAAGCTTGTTAGCGCAGCTCTTTTGAAGCTGAAATGTGGGACTCACATATCCTTTCAGGGTTGGAACCGGTAAGAAAAAGATAAAACGGTCCGGTCCGGCCGGTTGAAAAATTCAACCGGTCCGGTCCGGCCGGTATTCCGGCCGGTTGTTAATCATTTCTGAACCGGTGAAATTCCGGCAAACCGGTCAATTTCCGGTCAAGCTTACCGCTTTAAAATGGTTCCAAACATCCGAAAGTACGGTAGAAATTGATAAAGTTATTTCTAGTTGTAAATTGAATTATCTAATATTTAAATAACACGGTTGAAACAATATGATTTAGTTCCTCGTATCATAAGTACAGAAAGCTGAAATCGACCTAAGAATAGGTTTTTTTTATAAGCATATCTTAGAAAATTTCAATATTCGTACTGGAGAAAATATTATTTGACTTTTTATGAAACTTTTAGAAAAGGTATGCGTAATCTTTATAATCATGAAGCATCATCATTTTTTCAAATGCATATTAAGATTTTCCTAATTGATTTATATAGTACTGCCTGGTCTATTTCACAACTTGAAATCCGAAACAGAAAAAAAAGCATAAAATAGTGTTTTTTATTCTTCTGCTCCTCTAATTCAAAGAGCAGATATATATATATATGTTCAAATTTTATTGTCAAATTATCTTTTCGTAACTATACATAAAAAAGTAACAAAAGTAAAAGTATAAGATATACAATTTCATGAAACAATCATTAACGAAACAAAAAAGTAATTGTTGAGTCTACCTTTATTAATGAAATGGTCAAGAATGTTCGTACTATCATACCACCGTTGGCCACATTTTATTTATATAAGCTTCTTTGAGCACCACGAGAGCTTCTACATAATTAGGATCGAGTAAACTTCGAAGCTCCGTGACAATTTGCCCTGCAATCGAAAAATGCCGTTCACTCTCGGCCGACGAAGCAGGAATCACCAAGACCGATTTTGCAATTTGGGCAAGAAACGAAAGATCATCTTTATGATTACGCCAAAATGTAAATGGATTGTTATCGTAATTATTATCAATTTCCATACTGTCATATATTTGAATTTGTCGATCCAGCTCTTTTTCCAATGCCGATTGGCCACAAATCGATGTATTTTGTGTGGTTCTTTTATTACGAAAATCAGCAAATGGATCATTTTTCATTCGCTTAGATGATGGTGAATTATGAAATGAATCCTGTGACGATGAATGATTATTCGAATGATGAACAATATCGGATGCCAAAATATGAAGACCTTTTTGGACTTGTTTCTTCTGAATTTCCAAATACGAGCTATCCGAAACGAAGAAAAAAGATTTCAATGATGGATCTAAATACGTACCAATCCAATGAATTTGTAAAATAGAAGGTAAATATTTCTCATCAAGACACGATCGTATTTCGGATTTTAATTCATTAATAATTTTATGATCATTAGTATTAACTTGAACATCGTTTAACATACGATAATAGCTAGGTACCACGTTTTGCAACGTAGGTTGATCGGCCATCTCGAGCTTGTCAAAAATCATTGAAAATGGATGCATCAATTTAACAATTTCGTTCAATAAAACAGGATCGATGTTGAATAATCTGTATTGTTCTTCCCTTTCACGTAAGATAATATTAAGTTTTTCAAATGAATTATTTAATGAATCGTGAATATCAAAATATGATCGCCAAGGGCGCGTGCCACAACCACCTTTAAGTGTTTTCGGTAATTTATCTTGAATACCAGTTGTCTGGTTAACATACTTACGTATATCACGAACTGCACCATTGAACATAGCAAATGTTGAATTTTTTGCATCTTCTCTATTCCAGGCTGTTTCAAGAGTAGTATTACAACGGTGTGCCATACATGGAAGACGAGCTTCCTGAGTAATATTAAAAGCTGCAATCATGTTACTTCCTTGATCAGTGACAATTGGTGTGTCACCGAACGACAAATTAAAAGATTCGAAAATGGATTTAATTTCTTGCCAAATATTGATACCTGTTTTACTATCTTCGGGAAAATGCTTGCAACGTAATAAGCAATGTGAAAGTTTGAATTCGTCGTTGGTCCAAAATACTGTAAAGTCAAGATAACATCGTTTAATGTAGTCGTCAGTCCACATGTCGCATGTAGCAGCAACACAATGATTTTTAATTGGTTCATCGAGTACTTGTCGAATTGTATTTGAAAAATGATTGAACTTTGTCATAGCTTCATTACGAATCGTCTTTCGGCCGTAAAATATATCACGAATATTCACCATACCCATTGTGGCTCCAATATTAATGGCAGTTTGGGCCAGTTCCAGAACACCATCATTTTCAAGTGCATTAAATGAATGACTTCCAACGGTCACAAATTTTAGTTCTGCATCTTTTAGTTGCTTTTGTAAATGTTCACTTAATTGGTTTTTGTTATATGCAAAACGAGGCATTAACGTTTGAACAGAACCTGATTGTTTTGATATTGCAGTTGTCGCCGTTGGAGTTGACGATGAAGTTTTTTCAGAGCGTGCGCTACATTCCTTGACATGTGCATGTAATGATGTTAAGCCATAGTTTTTCCGATTTTCGGTAGCACCTTTCTTTGAATGAGTTCGATAGGCTGTTAAACAATATTTACAAACAGCCCACCCATCAAATACTTGTTCCTTTCCGACATTGTCGAGAACACCCACCAAAGAAATATCATTCATCCAAAGTTCATGAGTAGCTTTGGGATTGTTCATCAAAATAAATTCCTTAGCTCGTAATTTGCGTTGTATCTGTCCCGATTAGGGGTGTCAACTTTGCGTTCCGTTCCTAGGAACAGGGAACGCTACCCCGTTCCCGTTCCTAGGAACGGGGAACGCCACCCTGTTCCCCGTTCCTGGGAACGGGGAACGCCATCCCGTTCCCCGTTCCTAGGAACGGGAGACGCTACGCCGTTCCCCGTTCCTGGGAACGGGGAACGCTTCCGCGTTCCTCAGCGTTCCGTTCCTAGGAATGGGAACGCAATATACGTTTCTTTCACTTTTAACAGAAATTTTACTAATTCACCGAAGGAAAGCCAATTTCATAAAAATTAGGGATGTTAACGTGCCCCGTTCCCCAGCGTTCCGTTCCTAGGAACGGGAACGCTTGTCAAAATCGCATTTCCACGCTATATTTCAACAAGGCGAGGTCTCTAGACATATCCACTTTTCTTTTTACGTTTGAGTGTTCAGCGTTCCCCGTTCCCAGGAACGGGGAACGGGGTAGCGTTCCCGTTCCTGGGAACGCGGAACGGGGTAGCGTTCCCCGTTCCTAGGAACGCGGAACGGGGTAGCGTTCCCCGTTCCTGAGAACGCGGAACGCTGAACACTCAAACATAAAAAGAAAAGTGGATGTGTCTAGAGACCTCGCCTTGTTGAAATATAGCGTGGAAATGCGATTTTGGCAAGCGTTCCCGTTCCTAGGAACGGAACGCCGAGGAACGGGGAACGCTGACACCCCTAGTCCCGATGTCAGATTATCAGGATCAATCATTTTTTAATAAAGCTGGAGAAACAATTAGTAATGAGATTATTTTTCACTTCAAGAAAGCGATTAGGTCAAAAGAGAGCGAAAGTAGAATAAACAGAACAAGTGACCTTTATATCGTTATAACTAGACGAACAAGAAAAGAAATCGAACGAAACAGAACAAAAAAAGAATAAACAGAACGGACGATCTGTATATTGTTATTACTAGAAGAAAAAAAAAGAAGTCGAACGAAACAGAACAAAACATATCCCATTATCTATAAGATATTAGGCATCCACCATTGAAAGTGATACATTATCTAATGTTCGTTGATTTTTCTTTCTGATAAAACATATGCCTAATTGTCTTCGTGTCTATCATAGTATTACAATCATAGCGATAAATATCGATTATAAACCGAACAAAATTTTTAATATTGGCACTAGCGAAAGACTTTCTGAACATATATGTATAATGATGGAGAATTTGTTCTAATTCATAGCAAAATACATAGTTCTTCTTACCGAATAAGAGCTAAGTAAAGATAATATTTTTTAAACTTAAACCGGTGAATTTCCGGTATTTACCGGCCCGGTTGACTTTCTAAACCGGTCCGGTCCGGTCCGGTACCGGTCCGGCCGGCCGGGTCCCGGTACCGGTTTACCGGACCGGTTCCAACGCTGTATCCTTTAGTCTCATTATACTAATAGAATGTGAACTAGGTGAATTATCTGTAGCAGCCTATAATTATTTTTAAACGTATTCGATCTTCAGACAGTCGATATTTCGTATCTGCTTCTGTATTTCAAATAGAAGTTTCTTATCCTTTTTATATAATGGCATTCTTTTGTTATTTTTTGTTCCACTGATGGCATTTCGCTCGTTGTTTTTTCTTGTATGTATTTTGTTTAACTTACTTTAAAATTATTACTATTCTATGCATTCAATTAATTGTCGAGTAAGTCTGTTGTAAAGATCCATTATATCTACATCAGTATATCTCGATAAGCTCTCAAAATCTGATATTGATCATTTCCCAAAATTATGCATTGATCAATTGAGATACTTTATGTTGATCTTGTGACGAATGACAAAACAACTTATCATTGCTCGTCATTGTTTATATCTTTAATAGAAATTTTTATAAGCACAAATATCAAAACCTACACTATTTGAAATACTTAAAAATATATTAGGACCACTTAAAGTTCGAAAAAAGTTTGGAAGTGTTCTAGAATATTTGAACTCTTGTCGCTGATATCGTTCAGCTCCTCTTGCAATTGGTAAGAAGCTCTAGAAAAGCAGTCTGAAGTCTGTTATCTAAGGTTGTTGAGTTCTGTAATGAAGAGAGGGGACTTGCGAAACTTGGACTTCAAACTTCTACTCACTATTTTGTTTGAAAATATGTGTCAGTTCCATAAAACTGATGTTCATAAAATAAAGAAACATTAAATATTAAAGAAATATTCTTTTCATCAACATCTTGTCTTTCATTGTCTTCAGGTAGCTCGCAAAAAATTTTAGCCTCATGGATACAAAAAAAAAATAAATAGGTCAGAGATTTTTGCGTATCACCATATTCTTTTGGTATGCTAGTTATTTGTCTCGTTGACTACCATACGAAGAAATCTTCACTTATTCTTTAATATCTGCTTGTTATTTAAATAGAATACATTTTGTTTTTATTTATTCATTTTTATTTTATACAGTAAAGATAAATTAACACTCGCCTGATTGAGATAAGTTCAAATAATAAATATCGCTTATTTTTTTCATTGACACTCATCATGGAGTTTTAAACTCAGTTTGGAAAATGTAAGAATTGACAATCAACCTCTGTTGTTTTAAATCATACTATCTGTTAAACATATAGAGCTCCACAGTAATCAAGTTTTGAGAATGTTTTATGTGGATACTCATTTTTTGCAGTAAATAGCTGAAAACACTGGAATATCACATAGTCAAGAAAAACCTAAACCTAAAAAATGGGATCCTTCCGAAATACAAGGAAGAAAGTAACGATGAAAACTATTGACTATAAAATATTGACCAGCATCTATAACTGTATTGGATTGAGTTTAATAATACAATTTGCACTGCATTATCTTAGAACTCCTTGAAGATCACAATCGAAATTTAAGGAAAACTTGATTTCTCGTATAATATTCGACAGGCTGCAAAGCGCTCTACAAAACTACATATGAAATTCTGATTCAAGATAGATCACGAAATCCGACAAAACTCTTTCAAATGGTTTCGTTAAATCTTATATTCACCACTCAATCTTGAAGTCGTCCATTTTTCAAGACTGCTAACAAAGATCTTCTTCATTATATGAGGAATTGTGCCGTGTGATGTTCACTAATATACCAACAGGATTGAAGTCGGTTTCCAATCAAATAAAAGCTCATAGAAGACTCAAACTTAGTTGTAAAAACAGTGTTCGAGATTGTCTAGAAAGTTCTATGTATTTGACGCTATGATTCCGTTGGCTGTTAATGTATGAGAGATAATGTATTGGTAAAGCCTTCATACCATTTTTCACACAGTTTTACGTTACACACTTAGCATTGACCAAAAGTTCTGATCCCAGTGTTTAAAATTTATAAAATAGTTAATATCGAAAGTTTTATTGCATGAATACATAGTAAAATAAATCGTCTACAATAATGGTTATAGCAACTCTATCTTGGATTTAAGTCTAATATTCTTTCAGATAAAATCTACTTAGGAGTGATCAAAAGTTTTGATAACATCACATAAAAATACAAAAAAGAAAGAGATACTTTTAGTTTTATCCCATTAAATATTCAAAATACTCACCATTATTATTTATACCAAGTTTCATCCCTTATAATAGTTTGTCCAAAGTTTTTTAGATTCCTTTTCGAAAATTTTTGTTACTATCTTAGTCTACAAGAATATTAGAATTAAGCCCAAGAGAGATTTGTTATAGAAATTATTTTAAACAAGATATTCTACTATGTATTCATACAATAAGACTTTCGATATTCACTATTTCATTAAATTTTCATCACCGAGATCAGAAATGTTCGTCAACCCTAAGTATTATTCGAGAAGAGAATTCGAAAGTTGTTGTCTATTGTGCACTAAAAGCGAAGGAAGCAGAAAAAAAAGCATCTTCTTTATCTCCACCAACCAATAATTCCTCATTAGTAATAAATGCTGAGTCAATTTCTTTTCTGTTTAGAGGTTATTTGTATAGCTTTTAGCAACGTTTTATACGCGGCCAACAAACGGTAGCAACACAAACTTTCTTATTGATCAAAAGTGTGCGCAAATACACAGAGGAACGATGCAGTCCCATGCGGAAGAGGTATGCAATGCTTTCTGCTTCCTTAAATATTGACTTCTGCGTAGAAAATTGAATATAAAGACTATAGGACACATGTGTTCTTCAAGCAGTCATCAAGTCATGATCAAGCAGTGTTATTCGAATGGAGGCAGTTATGGTTTATAGAGAAATAGACGTCTTGTGCGCAAGAATGCCAAGATTCGCCGTTGCTGTTTGAGTTACTCAGTTATGGATATTGTGTATATTATAGACAAACAGCTTTCATAGTTGCTGAAAATAGCCTGTAGCATATAGATAATCAAGTTTTTATATCAGCAAGTAGTCTTGTACATTGAAAGTTCATATATTTTCTGTTACTTTCACAGTACGTGTAGACGTATTTGCAAGGGAAAAACGGCGGATTCCGGATTCCCGGGATTCCCATAGGATTTCCAGGATTCCCGTGGGATTCCGGAAATCTGGGAATCCAAGAGAATCTCGGGATCCCATGAATTCTCAGAATTTTTATAATAACAAATGACATTCCAGAAATTCGTATTTAACCTCTATGATCCTCACCCAAGTCCTGAAAATCTCATAGAACTCAGTGTCAAGGTTTCGCTGCTTTATCACATGGCTAGAAAAGCTGCATTAAGCTATTAAGGAAAATCATTTCGTAAGGGAACTTTTTCTCGTATGCTTGACCTGTGCAGATGTCAAGCTTTGCCCATAGTACATCACTTTCTTGTTCAAGAATCTCAAGAGAGCCACGCAGATGAGATAAAGAGTTTCATTAAAACCATGATTAAAAACAATAGATGTTTTCACAAGTCGAACTTATTTTCAGGTGAAAAATGTTCGATCTGAAAAGTTATTGAAACTCAAAACTACCCTTTTTTACATGAATTTTTTCCTTATGCGCAAGAAACGCGCAGCTCTCAAGATGTGTAC